ATAATGAGCTCAGCACAGAAAATAATATGGAACAAAGAAACCAGGGACACCATGAAAAAACACATAACAAAATAACAGCAACAAATTCAAACTTATCAATAATTACCCTGAATGTTAATGGATTAAATGCACCACTTGGAGGGCAGTGACATTGTGGCTTCTGGTATAGCACACAGATGACAACCAAGTGTTCTGGGTCTGGACTCCAGCTCTGTTTGACCTTAGGCAGTTGTGTAACCCAACCCCTTTGTGCCACAGTTACCTCATTTCCAAAACAGAGAAACTCCCACTTCTGGAGTTGCTGGGAGATTCATCTAAGTGCCAGGCACAGAGGAAGTACTGTCTGCATGGTGGCCATTACTGCTTTTTTATCAGAGCACCCTTGTCCTGGCTGGTGACCACAAGGGGACTTCCTCTGTGACTCTTGGAAAGGGTAGGTGTACTTCCTCCTAGTAGGAAAATTATCTACCCTAAGGAAAGGTGGGAGTAAGAATGTGGGTAATGGAGAAACCCTGGCTGAACACCCAGGGAGGCACTTGGTCTTCAGAACTTTCCTACATTTGCCCTGTACCCCTGAACACCAGAGCTGCCTTCTTCAGTTGGAAACGATGGCTCCTTCCACTCCTCTCATGTGGGTGTGGGCTGTATTGTCTCAATGGGTATGAGCCAGGGTGGAATAGGTTCTTAGTAAGGACCTTAACCCAGGGATCCCTCCCTTCCAGCTGCCCACCTCTTCAGGCAGGTCCTGTCCACTCATAACTCTGGCACCTACCACAAGCCACTGTCCAGTAGACCTGCGAGTCCTGGGTCTGGTGCAGGATGCGGTAAGGGGCCACACGGGCACTAGAGTCCAGCACCACATCCAGGGTGCCGACAAGAAGACCTGAAGGGAAGCAGAGAGACTGGGTTGGTGAGGTGAGTGGGTACCCAGCTGAAAGAGGCCCCTGGCATGGAGCACTACCCTAAGCATCCTAACCCAGGAGAGAAAGACAGATATCTTGAATCACCCCTTCAGCCAGATGACTTCTTTTTCCTCAAAGGCCCTCAGCCTGGGTCTAGCCACTACCAAAAAAGCCCCTCCTACCTCTTCCTGGAAGCTTCTGCTTCTCACTCAGAAACACTTGCAGTTGACGTTTTAGGTACTCTGCCATCGAGTTCTTGAAATGTTTTTTTATTGTTATAGTTGCTCTACAGAAAAGGTAAGGAAGCCTAAGTATGTATTTGTTAAACTTCTTCTGCCATCCTCTAGTCAAATATTTTTTTCACTATTTAAAATTACTGAAGTATTCCACCACATATTTTTTCTCCTATACTAGATGCCTAGGATTCTAGAGAATCCTATAACTGATTAGAAAATATTTTCAATACAAAAAAAAAAAAAGAAAAAAAAGAAACACCTGCAGGCAGGGGCAGGTCCAGGTTTTACAAGTCCACAGCTTCAACAATTTTGGAAGACCCTCTTCATGACAGATACAAAATTAGGTTTAAAAATGAGTATTTTTTTAGAATAATAAAGTACATCAAATTAAAAATTGGAAAAACAAACAATACCAGAAACATCACAAATCCAGGAAAATAACGCAGTATTTTTTTAACTGTCAGACACAGCTCTTAAAATACGTTTTGACCTTGTACTTCTGGCTATGCACTCTGATCTCTTCTCCATAAGACAATGATTTAAAAAAAAAAAAATTATTTCCCACATAGAAAACAGAAAGATAATGATTCTTGTTTCTGCCACAGGATCACAGTTTTCTCTTATTGAAAATTTGGGGAAGTTTCTTTTAGTTTTAAAAGTCATGACTGAGAATGACATGTACATTTGGAGAAATATGGGAAAATACTGATCTAGGGTTTTTCACCTTCGAATTGAAGCAGTTTAGGGTCTTACTTTTCCTTTTCCTTACACATACCCTTTGAATTGATGCCACGTTGGTGGCTGGTGATGGTGGTAGTGTTTTTGGTGACTTCAAATTAGTTTGGATTCATAGCGACCCAACGTACTGAAACGCTGCCCGGTCCTGTATTATCCTCACAATTGTTGCTATGTCTGAGCCACTGTTGCAACCACTGTGTCAATACATCTCATTGAAGGTCTTTCCTCTTTTTTTTGCTCACCTTCTGTTTTACCAAGCATGATGTCCTTCTCCAGGGCTTGGTCCCTCCTGATAACAAGTCCAAAATTTGTGAGACAAAGTCTTACTATCCTCCCTTCTAAGGCACATTCTGGCTGTACTTCTCCCAAGACAGATTTGTTTGTCCTTCTGGCAGTCCATGGTATATTCATGATTCTTTATCAACACAACAACTTGCAATTTCTGGCAGTCAGTGTTAACCTTTTCACTGTCACTATTTCCTGAAACATTAGTAGGAATATGTATCTTTGACCACTGTGTTTGTCTGATTCACTTCTCTTCACTGATTGACGTACCAAGCAACCTCAAAACCTGTTCACTGTTCCTCTTTGAAGTTTCTTTCTTTTTTAAATTAAGTGCTGCTTATGGTATAATCTGAAAATATTTTGTTATCATTTTTCTGTTGAGGTCACAATACTTTCTACTAATTTTATCATTTGCCTTTAACACTTTTTTTTCATATTCCATTAATTTTTAATTTGATTTTTTTCTCTAGTCTTCAATTATACCCATATCAAGAATCTGTAATTTCTCACTTGTTTTGCTGAAATGTTCTAAAATGGCTCTCTAAATTGTAGTTAAAATGGCATATTCAAGCTTTATCAGCGTCTGGAATACATTTGCTTGTTTGTTTGGAGTTTTTTTCCTAGTCTTGGAAGTTTTATTGTAGAGTCCCCAAGCTGCTAGCATAGTCATGCTGCAAGATTTGAAAAGCTTTTTAATGGGCAGACCATCTTGTCATTATTAGACTCTTTAATGAAAAATACAAATTGGCATCTGTCTTTAAAAGACAAACTTAAACAAAACCACAGAACTAACTGTTCCTCTCCCAGGAGAGTATTCAGGAGGCCAAGAGGTCTATAAAAGCATAAGGAAGGTCAAGCAGAGGGAGGCATGGTGAGATTGGGGGAGGGGGCTCAAGGAATGGTTCTCTCAAAGCACACTGGGAGCTCAGTCTCAGAGTACACAGAGAGATAAATGAGGTAGAAAAAAAGAAAAAGAGGGTGGGACTTATCTGTACCAGGAAGGGTGCACTCAGAGGCATGGCCATACCTGTGCCAGCACGCACCCATCCACTGAGATGACCTATGAAAACGTGCCTAGCCTGGGACAAATGCTAGACATATACTGGTCAAATGACAAAGTGGACTCTGGTATAACAAAAAGTACCATTTGCTCATTGCCTCCACTTTCTGAAACAGGCTTGAAGTAGCATCCAGTGCTGATCCCTGGTGTCTCCAAAGGGGCTGCTGTCTAACTACCACTGAAAAGCTTGGTCCAGGAGGCAGGCCCAGTCCTGGTTCCATGACTGGCATAGACCCAAACTGAGTGCAGAGCCAGAGCACTGAAGGGAACACTGAGTTTCCTGGGAACAGCACAGCTTCTCCACATTAAGAGGGGTGGCACCGGCAGAGCTCATCGTGGGAAAGTTCCATCTGTATCTGGCAGGGCTACATTAGGTGCCTACATTTAATATCAGTACATATCACAAGAAATTCTCTTGACAAACTGGGTGATCTGGCAACACTGGGCCCACATTCTTGCATGGGAACAATCAGCCACCCAGGATGTGCACCTCTGGACCCAGGATGTGCACCTCAGCTGGCCACAGTCCCCACCAGCCACTTGATGCATTACGTCCTATGGGGGAGTGTTATAACACTTCAGATCTCAAAAGACCCAATGTGAGGGCTTCAACTTCTTCGAGGCTGAGCTCAGCATTTTAAAATGAGGAGTATGGGAATTTACAGATGCTTTCCATAGGAACTGACAGTGTGGTTAGGAGACCTTTCTTGTGCTGCACAGGGCCATGTTTTACTCTCTGGGCACTGGTGTCTCCCCTAGGGCTGGCCTGTGCCTGACTCATCTCAGCACTGCCTAGGGCAGGCTCTGGGATGCAGGACCTGGACAGAAGGGCCTCAGACAATATAGCTGAGGGAACATCCAGCCAGGGTTCCCTGGATTCACAGCCCCCATGCTGCCGCCTATCTCCAGGGCCAGTGTCATCCTGTGTCAGTTGTGCCCCACGACATGCAAAGGGCATCTTGTCCTGCTCACTGGGGCATGGGACACTGGTGACTGGCAAAGCCGAAACTCTGAAGGCACCAAACAGCAGGAAAGGTGGTGAGGAGAAGCTGGAAAAAGGGGGCACCTCTGGTCTTGCTTACAGAGAGTCTTTGGTGAGGTGAGAATAAGAAGGGGGCAGAAAGAGAACGTGTGCTTGTGTCACTTCATTCTCTGGGGCCCACGGGGAAACTGAGGCATGGAGGAAGAGAACCAGATCTTGCCGACATTCAGCAGTGAAATCCCACTAGAGGACGCTCTGCACCCCACGCACGCCTCGGTCAGGCACTGGAAACCTTACCAGCGCCAAGCTGGACAGATGCCACTGACAGCCCCTTCCTCCGGCTGCGCAGGGGTCACAGTGACCGCCCAGCCTCCAGAGCAGCCTGCTGCGCGCGCTCGCCTACCTCGTGCCCCCCACCCTCCTGCCGCGCTGACGTGCGCGTCCGCGGTCCGGCCCGGCCTGTCCCGGCGGTCTAGTCCTAGCCCGGCCCCCGCCCCAGGCCCGGACGCCGCGCGGCCGCTCACCCGTGAGGCCACCGCCCTTGCCGTGGCCGCGGCGCCGCTGCAGCACGAAGAAAGGGTTGGCACGCTCCGTCACCCACAGCGCGTTGGCCACCAGCACCTCCTCCGGGCCCAGCCAC